TTTTATTATTTTAATTTTTATTGCAAAATTGTCCACCAAATTCTGGGAATTACCACCACAAAAGCAGTTATTTTTATGGGAAAAAAAAATAATTTAAAATATCGTGAAAAACTATGGGGTCTGATATGTTTTATTCATTATTAGTTGATGTTAGTGTTAGTAAACACATTAACTAATGAAACCTTATTGTAAAGTGAGAGCAATGTAACATGCTCCAGAAGCAATTCAGCATTAAATGACCTAGACATGACTCCAGTCCTCCCTCTCAATGCACTTCCACTAAAAAAACATCAACGTGACTGTATCAAATCTGACGAGTCTCGTTTGTCCCTGGTGTGGTTTTCAGAGAGTGTAGCGATCGGGCCATTAAAGTGTTTAATGTGTTCGCAGACCGGCTGCATCCATAAAGGCAGCACAGGGGGGATGTTTGGCTGGAGAGCTGGCGCGCGCCGGTCCGCAAACCCTGACACCTCGTTAAAAAGCCAGTTAAGGATGATGTTAACGTAATTGAGCATCATTAGAGCTCTACGCTCCGATCAGCTGGGCCAACGGGGCAGAGAGGGACAATTACAGCAGCCCATCAGCGCTGATAAATGCGCGCGTATTAAACACCTTCCCGCCGAACATTCTGTTACGCACCCAACACCCTTCTTCACTTCTCCATCTGCTTCGTGTTAGTTTATTCCTTGGCATAACCCACGGATGAATCGCCCTTCCCCCAACCCGTCGCCGCGCTTTGTTTAAACGGACAAAATAAAAAAGATAGCGCGCAAAATAAACAGTGGCACATCTCATTAAATTGTCTGGAACGTGCCGCGCTCGCCGTTATCAGCGGAGACAACGGTTACGTGAACTGTTTCGAACTTGTCAGTGGCGGATCCTAATTGCCTGCTACAAAACGGGGGTTGAGGAAGAGACGGCTTTCCCTGAGAGAGTTGCAGGGCAGCTCGCGAACGCTCCGACAGAACAGACGACACGCTTGTGTGCCGATGACATCTGGAGGAAACGTCTTTATTGACAGGGCCATATCGATGCCGGAGACGCCAACAATCACGCCGCGGCTGTCACGCAAACACACTTCTTAATTTACATTAATGACTTCATCACCGTCTTTGTCTGCCTCTCAGACGCACTCATAAGACAGTCTGACACGAGCATGTGTGTGTGCGTGTGTGTACCTGTAGCTGACAAGAATGATATCCTGATATTTATTCAACTTTTTGGTTATCATAATTAAACTAAATTATTCTAAGTGTGCTGCTGTATTGAATGGTATTGACTGCCATGGATTAAAAAAAACACCAGTAGGTGGCGACAAGCGCCTATCTTAATTAGCATTTCATTAAATTATTCAAGGTATTTGTTCAAAACGGTTGATTCATTCAGAAAATAAGTGACTTGCTGAGTGTGTTTTTGTGCTGCTATATTGGCTGGTTTAGGCCAGTAGGTGGCGACAAGTGTCTGTCTTAATGCATTTATGTGTGTGTCTACCTGCAGCTGACAAAAATGATATCCTGATATTTATTCAACTGGGATTCTCATAATTAAACTATATTGTTTTGAGTGGGTAATCGATAAATATGACACCAAAACCACCAGTAGGTGGCGACAAGCGCCTGTCTAAATTAGTGTTTCATTAAATCATTCAAGTTATTTGTTCAAAACGGTTGATTCATTAAGAAAATAAGTGACTAGCTGAGTGTTTTTGCTGTATTGGTTGGTTTA